TGCTCTTCTGGCCTGCTTCTTTGGGTGTCCCTGAGTTTCCCCTCCTCACCTAATCCCTTCGGCTGATTGCTCTTCTCTTTTATATTGAAAATATAAGTAGCAGAATATAAACCAGTTCAACAAATAAAATCAGAAATCTTAAAGCTCAAAGTGACTTTAGAGAGGTCATGCACCCTAAGCTCTTACCAGTATAGGACCCTTGCTTGGCCATATTGAAAGACAACCATCTACTCTGTGTTGATATTTCTAGGGAGAAGAAACTCAGTTACTTTCTTTTCCATTATCGTTCCCTTGTAACATGTTATTACTATCTGTCTTCCCAGCTGCCACCCAGTTTTTCGTAGTTAAACTATAATCTTGGACACATCACTTAACCGTTGTGTGTGTGTTTCCTTGTGTACCCAGTACTGCTTTGCTCTTTTTCCCATCACCAGGTTTTTTGAGGACGGGCTGGGTTGTCTGTGAAAGTGTTGTGTGAGGTATAGGTGGTCTTTACTTGTCACTGTCACATCTCTGCAGACCTGGAGCAGCAACCGTCTGTTTCCCAGCGCAGAGGAGGCCACGCTCTTCCTGGGAACACTGGATACCATTTTCCTCTTCTCCTACGCTGTGGTAAGTTTTGAGCACTGGACACCATTTTCCTCTTCTCCTACGCTGTGGTAAGTTTTGAGCACTAGACACCATTTTTCTCCTACGCTGTGGAAAGTTTTGAACACTGGACACCATTTTTCTCTTACGCTGTGGTAAGTTTTCATAGTCTAGTATTTTAAGGTAAGGGATGTGTATAAGAAGATGACTCTAAACCTTATGATGTTTCTAAGGGTTTTGGAATTTACTGACCAGTGGCAAGTTCAGTATTTCTGAAGTTTTTATTTTGTGTTTTCATTCATTCAGCAAACATTTATTAGTACCTAGCACAGGCAGGTACTTTTCTAGTCACAGGACATTCATCAGTAAACAACACACATAAAATCCCTACCTTTAGAAAGCTTATTTTCTTGCAGTGGTAAAAGGCTCTGAATAAGGAAGTAACAGCATGTTCGGGGGTGATAAGTGCTGTGGAGAACAATAATGCAAGGAAAGGGGAGTAGAAAGACCTGGGTGGGGGTATCATTTGAAGGAAGTGGTTGGGGAAGACCTCCCTAAGGATGGCTGTTGAGTAAAGACCAGATGTCGGTCGGTGTGATCAGTGACTACGCTGGGGCAGCAGAAGTGAGAGCCAAGGTAGTGGGCTCAGGTCTCAGGTCTCAGGGCCTTGTCTCTTCTGGGGCTTTGGCTTCACCATGTGAGGTGGTAGCCCCTGGAAAGTTTTGTGCAGAGCAGTGACAGGGTCTGACTTGCATAGTGAGGTGTCATGCTGTGCTGTGAGATTGGACTGAGGACTGAGACAGCCTAGCAAGGCTGCTGTGCTGGGGAGCTGAGGAATGGTGGCTTGGGTCCAGAGTGGAAGGGAATGAGGTGAAGAGAAGTGGCCAGATTTATCTCTACTTTGAAGGTAGAGCCACCATCTTTTCCTTTTACTGAATATGGACTAGAAGAGAAAGAGACTGAGGCCTAACTCTGGGTATAAGACCAAGGGAAGGGGTGGTTTCGGGAAAATCGGTTTTGGGCACATTATGTTTGAAGTGGCTGTTGTTGCCCAGTGGTGAAGAGTAGATACTAGGATAGTTAGGTGACCACTGTTGCCAAAATATGACGTTGAGTGTATCCCACCTGAATTTAGACACAATCTCAAGAATGGATTAGATGCATTAAACACCAGAGACACTGAAGACTTAGGGGGGTTGTGGGATGACATGAAACACACACATGAGGAAAGCACAAGGTCATTAAAAAGACAGGAAAGGAAGAAAAGACCAAAGTGGGTGTCAGAAGAGACTCTGAAACTTGCTGTTGAACGTAGAAGAGCTAAAGTGATTGGAACAAATAAAATAAAACCTGAATAGAAGATTTCTAAGGGCAGCTCAAGAAGACCTAGTAAAGTATTATAATGAAATGTGCAAAGACCTGGAGGTACAAAGCCAAAAGAGAAGAACACACTTGGCATCTCTCAAGTTGAGAGAACTGAAGGAAAAATTCAAGCCTCAAGTTCAATATTGAAGCATTCTTTGGGCAAAATAATGAATTACACAGGAAACATCAAAAGAAGGTGGAAGGAATACATAGATTCACTGTACCAAAAATAATTGATTAATCGGCCGTTTCAGGAGGTAGCACATGACCAAGAACCAATGGTATTGAAGAAGTCAAAGCTGCGCTGAAGACGCTGGTGAAAAACAAGGCTTCAGGAATTGATGGAATACCAATTGAGATGTTTAACAAATGGATGCAATGCTGGAAGCACTTACTCATCTGTGCCACGAAATTTGGAAAACAGCTACTTGGACATCTGACTGGAAGAGATCCATATTTGTGTCCATTCCAAAGAAGGGTAATCCAGTAGAATGTGGAAATTATCAAATCATATCATTAATATCACAGGCAAGTAAAATTTTGCTGAAAATAATTAAAAAATGTTTGTAGCAATACATTGACAGGCAACTGCCAGAAATTTCAGCTGGATTCAGAAGAGGATGTGAAATGAGGATATCATTGCTGGTATCAGATTGGTTGTGGCTAGAAGCAGAGAATACCGGAAAGATGTTTACTTAGTTTTGTTGACTATGCAAAGACATTTGACTGTGTGGATCATAACAAGTTATTGATAACATTACAAAGAATGGGAATTCCAGGACACTTAATTGGAAACTGTTTATAGACGAAGAGTCATTGATTCAAACAGAACAAGGGGATTTTGCATATTTTCAAATCAGGAAAGGTACACATCAGGGCTGTATCCTTTCACCATACTTACTCAACCTGTATGCTGAATAAATAATCTGAGAAGCCAGACTGTACGAAAGAACACAGCATCAGGATTGGAGGAAGACTCAGTAATAACCTGATATGTAGATGACACAACCTTGCTTGCTGAAAGTGAAGAAGACTTGAAGCATTTACTGATGAACATCAGAGAGTACAGACTTTGGTATAGATTGCACCTCAACATAAAATAAAACTGGTCCTCACAACTGGACCAGTGAGCAACATCATAATCAGAGAAAAGCCTAACATTGTCAAGGATTTCATTTTACTAGGATCCACAGTCAACACCCATGAAAGCAGAAGCCAAGAAGTCAAGACAGTGAATTGCATTGGGCAGATCTGCTGCAGAAAACCTCTTTAAAGTATTAAAGATGTCACTGTGAAGACTAAGGTGCCCTGATCCAAGCCATAGTATTTTTAGTCCCCTCATACACATGTGGAAGCTGGACAGTGAATAAGGAAGAGTGCAGAGGAATTGACACATTTGAATTGTGTTGGCAAAGAATACCGAACGTGCCAGGGACTGCCAGCAGAACAGACAAACCTGTCCCGGAGGAAATACAATCCTCATGCTCCTTAGAAGCAAGACTGACGAGACTTTCTCAGACTTTGGCCATGTTTTCAGGAGGTCAGTGAAAAAGAGGAAGACTCAACAAGATGAATTGATACGGTGACTGCAGCAGTGGGCTGAAACGTAGTGACAGTTGTGAGGATGGCTCAGGACTGGGCAGTGTTGCGTTCTGTTGTACATAGGTTGCTATGAGCCAGGACTGTCTTAATGGCACCTAACATCAGTAACAAGTTGTTACCCAGTGGTGAAAAGCAGAAACTGGGTTATGTGTGGCTGTAGTTCACAGGAGAGGTTCAGGGTGGAGACATAGATTTCAGAGAACTTAGCATGTGTGTGGTTGTTAAAGTTATTAAATGGGTGAAATCATCAAGACACTAGGTAAGGAGAGGGTAGCTAGTTGAAGATTGGACCCTGGACCTTCCAGGATTTAGACCAGAGGAGGTGAGGAATAGGAAGGAGGCCTAGATGGAGTGGAAGGGGCGTAGGAAAACTTTTGCGTCTCGGGTCCTGGGAGTCATGCCAAGATGACTGTGGCCCTTCTGTCTGAGGTCTTTCTTGTATTGGCAGCTAGAATGTCTCGTGGGCTGTAGGGAACTTGCAAGGGAGCACTGAGTTAGAGCCGTGCTGCTGATGGTGGCCACAGCTGCACTGGGCTGTGGGCATTCTAACTTCCTACTTTAGACAGGTGTCTAGTTATAAAGAAATCTTTAAGTTATGAATGTCAAGGTGATGAGAAGTACTGGGTGCAAGTCCTAAGGTAATCTCTGAATGGTCATTTGGGAAATTATTAGAATGTCTTCTCTTCAAAGAGGAGACTTACAGAAACAGTCGGAACAGGTGGCAGACCATCTAGCCTAGTTCCTCTCTAGGCATTTTCTGGACAAAATCTTGAGACACACTTGTTGGGCTTTAGCTAGACCGCTCTAGTGTTGGGCACTCCCTTCTCTGGGAGCTGGCACGTTCATGAAGGCCCTGTGGTCCAGCGGGAAGAGCCTGGTTTGTGGTCCATGGACCACCCTGCCCCATAAACCAGCTCTGCTGTGCTGTATGTGGACTGGCATCCCACCTTGTGTGAGGTCTCCTCATCTGAAGAGCTGGGGCGATGATACCTGTCTGCAGGACTAAATAGATAACGAAGGAAAAAAGCCATGAAAACCAGCAACCCTGGTTCTTTGTGTTAAGCCGCATTTGCATTCCGAAACTTCCGGGCATTCATCTTAAGTTGCTGGCCGGGTTAGGTATAATCGGAAACAATTGATTTTCTTTGTCCTCTTTAGCATACAGTGTGAGTGGCAGCTGTCTAGAGCATAGATCTGTCCTGAAGCTTTGTCCCTTTGGAGTTAGTCTTAGCTTGACGATAATTAGGGAGAGAAGTTTGTCATTCCAGTCGTTGCCTATGCCCTCTCCAATGGATTAGTCTATTTACTGGAAAGACTTGGTCCTGTCTGAATATAGGTTTTTTTTTAGTCGCTACATTTCCCATTCTGCATCTTTCTGGGGAATCTACGTGTGTTGCCCTTGAGATCTTTAGTCTCCTTTCCTGCCATGAGCTCAGGCTTTTCATTCCTGGGACCCTGTGGGAGGAGAGCGGAAGGCAGAGGCTTTGTTCCCGTCCTGAGGAACCGTTGTCTCTGACGCCTGACGGGCCCGCCAGTGCTGTCGGGGCACCCGGGCAGCTGGCATGTCCACTGAGCGTCTGCTCTGCCGCTTACAAGCTGTCATCGAACCTGTGGCTGAGTTCACATGCAAGTAGGAAAGGAGCTCGATTGGGAAGTGATTACAACCAGTGTTTAGGAGGCAGTTGGTCTAGAAGATGAGGAGAGTATGCTTGCTAATTAGCATCATTAATTCCGGCTGTATTTTTAGTCCCCTCTTTGGCAACTGGAATCTAATAAAACTCAGTTTGTACTGAGTTGTGGTGTGTTGGTGAGTAAGGTGTGTGCAGTGTCGTGTGCAGGAACTAATTGTCCTTTCGTGAGGCCTTTGTGAACCTGACAATTGGCCCGTTTAGGTGTGAGAGTGACACGCAGTTGTCCATAACCCCAGGGCAGTGTGTGCCTCATCTGTGTTGGAATGCTTGCTACTTTTTCTAAACTCTGTTGTTATTTGGAGCTGCAGAATAGAATGTTTTATTTTTCAGGGCCTTTTCATCAGCGGTGTCGTTGCGGACCGGCTTAATTTACGCTGTGTCCTGTCTTTCGGCATGTGTTCTTCTGCATTAGTGGTAAGTTGGAAAAATAATTTTTTTCCTTTAGGCAGGTATGTTAGAATCCAAGTAGTCCCCCTACTTGCATATGGTTGAATGATAAGCATAACGTGCCCACTTAAATATACTTAAATCCTGTATGTGTGCATATAATGTGCATAGCATGCATGGGAAATTGACACATGAGGAGACTGTGCAGTTTGTGAGAAACCATGTAAGACACACATAATTTGAATAAGAACATAGCAGTCTTCAGTTTCCCGTTCCCTTTTCTGCCTTTTTCCATAGCTAGGCTTTGAAGTCCGATTGGGAGCCTGTCTCTCGGGTGGAGGCTGTGCGCGTGCAGGTGTGCTGCTCAGTGTCTTCCCAGCTCCCTCTCACTGTGCTTCACCACCTGGCTCTTCTAGGTGCCTGCACGCCCCAGGCCCCTACCATAGCGTGTCTCTTCCCTCTGTCCCTCTGCTGGGCTGCACTTCCTGGGCTGTAGGACGAGGTGCTTGCATGCAGTGTGTAAAACACAGAGCGTGAAGCCCTCTTCTCTCGTCTTATGTGTCTTTGGGTGATGACGCCTCTTTCCCGATGCCTTTCTCTGCAGACCCCTAAGCCATTGGCCACTTGATGCCTTTTCTGCGGACCCCCCAGCAGGGTGGACCACCTTCTTCTGTGTGTGGTTATTAGCAGTTAGTGTTGCCAGTCCTTAGGTTCATAGCAAAGTGTGTTAGACTGGGTTCTCTAGAGAAACAAAAACACCAGCAAAGTGTATATCTAGAGAGAGAGAGAAAAAATAAATTTATCTTAGGAAAATGGTTCACAAACGTATTGAAGCCGGCAAGTCCAAAGTCCCTGGAGGAAACGTCAGGCTGGAGGCAGCCTTAGCTTCTGCAAGCGCAGGGGGCCGAGAAATTCAAGGCTGGCAGGCAGTACACTGGTTGTTGACTCCAACGAAAGACGAATCCAAGATCTCCAGGCCGAGCGGAGGGCTGCTCACTCACGGAAGGTTGTAGGCAGCACACCAGGGTCCCAATCCCTCAAAGAATGTCTCTCTTCCCAGGATGTCCCTGGATATCCTGGAAGTAGGCCACACCCCTAGGGAAACTCCCCTTGGGCAGATTGGCTACTCAGAACACAATCATCCGATCCCATCATGGGAACAACCCCACAGAACTGGGGTCCAGCCAAGTTGACACACAGCTCCAACTATCACACAAAGGATGTTTTAGTGGCTATCTAGCTTGTGCTGTCGAGTTAACTCTGACTTGTGGTGGCCCCATGTGTGCAGAGTTGAACTGCTCTCTGGGATTTTCAGGCTTGCAAGGCACCTTTGAGTGGGTTTGAACTGCCAGCCTTTTGGCAAGCAGTTGAGTGCCTCCCCGTTTGTTCCACTCAGGGACTCCTGTGGTGGGTGTAGCACTGCATACATGCAGACTTCTCTGGGATTGGGCCGCCTGCCTAGTCCAAGATGGATGGACACGGTGGCTGCAGCAGTGGGCTCAGGGATAGCAGGGATCGTGAGGCTGGCACAGGACCGGGCAGTGTTTCGTTCTGTTGTGCATAGTGTCACCGTGAGTTGGAGATGACTTGGCGACGCCTGACAACAACAACAATAGGCCGCCTGGGTGTCAGTTCCACTGCTGCCGTTTTCCAGATTATGACCTTAGAGACGCGACTTCTTGATTTGGAAAGGGATATTCCTGTCCCCCACCTCCATCCCTTTGCACATACTCCAAACCAGAAGCAGGTTCACAGCAGTCTGAACAGTGGACACAGTTTGTAAAATGCAGAGAGCTGTGCTGTAAAACCAGGTGACAGGATGTAAAATGCGGAGAGCTAAGTGTACTGGATGCAGCGTGTGACGTGCGGAGAACGAGGGGTACTGGATGTGCAGTGTATAAAACACGGAGCAAAGCATCTTGGATGCGGCGTGTAAAACGTGGATTGCTGCACTGTAAAACGAGGTGACTGGACACACTGTGTAAGTGTGGAGAGTGAAGTGTACTGGACGTGGCGTGTAAAATGCAGAGAGCGAAGCGTACTGGACGTGGTGTATAAAACACGGAGAGCTGGCCTGTAGGACGAGGTGCTTGGATGCAGCGTGTAAAACACGGAGCGTGAAGCGTGCTGCACGTGGCCTGTAAAACGTGGAGAGCTGTGCTGTAGGGTGAGGTTTGGGGGCTCAGCATCTAAGTCTGGCTCGCTGTGCTTCTTCCACTTACGTGCACTGTGCAGTAAGCCGCGCTCCAAGGACAGAGTCCCCAGTCAGTGGCTCCAGAGGCTGGGGAGGAGGGAGGGTGAGGCGTTTGGAACTACGTCAGCCTGCTGAGTGCTGTGCAGGGCAAGGCCTGGAGCTGATTCATCTTTATTTGCTCAGCAGCGTCTGGTAGGAAGTTTTGTTGATTGGATGAAAGTGTGGAGTTTGGTTAGATCCTGGTTCGTTTTATTTTCAACGTCTGCCCCCTTGAGTTCAGGGAAAACCGTTTTTCCTTGAAATTTTAGAAATTGAAATACTTTTGTCACAAGCTGCTCTCCACACAGATAATATGCACACTTTACACTAAGTTGTAGTTTATGTATCTCAAAGTTGCATTGTGAGGTACACAGATGCACCCTCTTTAGTTTTCAGGGACAAGTAACTGCGCCCCTCCATCTTGTGTAGCCAGTGAGCTTTCTATCCTCCTAGGCCTGCTAATTGCAGGAGGTCACATACCTGGAAGCATACTGCTTTCTACGTGCTGTTTCCAGACCCATGCCAGGTATTCCTCAAAAGGCCTTGACTGCATATGAAATGGCCACTCTAGCAGAATGCCTGGACCACAAGTTCACTGAGCTGAACCCACACTGATTAACTAATGACCATAGCAGTACTGATGGCCAGGGCTCATCCGGCTCCCAGTACATGCTGGCGCTGTTCTGACAGGTATTCCGATGCGAACTGAGTCCCACCCTCTTCCACTAAGTCCTCTCAGTCTTGTCCGACAGCCACGTTCGACAGCACAGCTCACTGCACGGCATGTGCTGCGTCCAGTATACTTCGCGCTCCATGTGTCACACACTGCATCTGGTTGTCTTCACTGTCCATGTTTACACACTGTGTCTGGTATGCTTCACTCTCACGTTTTACGTGCTGTGGGCAGTCACGTGGTTTTACAGTGCAGCTCTGTGCGTGTTACATGCTGTAGCCACTACTCAGACTGCCGTGACTCTGCTTCCTGTTGGGAGTACATGCAGAGGGTTGGCTGCAGAGTTGGGGCTGTAGGGACTGGCCTAATGATTTTCGGGGGTGCAGAGGCCCCCTGATGCTCCCAGGCACTGGAAAAGTCTGTGGTTGGGCGAGATGGTCTAGTGGTTGCAGCCTGGAGCTCCAGGGTCAAGACTGCATGGGTCAGACTCCGCTGTTCTCGTAACTGACTTTGGCAAGTCAGCTTCTGAGCCTTAGCTTTGTCATCTGTGCACTTGGATAGTATCCATAGTGTCGTCTCCCAGGATTGACAGAGTGAGTGCCATGTACTGATAGGTGAGCTCAGATTCTGGGGTAGCGAGTCAGCTAGTGTCCGGCTGTTGTTAGCACCCCTCACATCTGTCCCCCACGCCCTGTCCTTGGCATCTGTGCCCTTAAACTGCTCAAGCGGCACCCTTCTCCCTCTACACCCTACTCTGTACAGCAGTGGCCACCCAGCAAGGCTGCCCCTCAGCAGTGTTCCATGCCTGGTTTGTGCATCTGAACCGTGATCGAAACAGTTCACAGATAGGAACGTCACAGCGAGTTTAAGTTCTTGTGAACGTTCATGTTTTGAGAGAGACACTTGTGAGCAGATGGCTTGCCCATTGTTGGAATCTAGGAGGCAATTTCTTTAGGGGACAGTGATGCTCCCCTGCAGGGTCCCCGGGGGAATACAGTTGGGGGTCATCTCCTTTCTCAGGAGAATGCTTGTCCTTCTTTGACCTGAGAGGACAGTGAAGAGGAAGGACTAGACCGTCCTTCTGCCCGCCCCCCACCACCAGGTGTCATTCATCGGCCGTGTCCACCTCCAGCTACAGGTGCACTGAATGGCTGATGTTCCAGGAGGGTGTTTTCGGGAACATTACCTGCGGCGATCACTTTTCTTCATGGGATGTGTGGCTGTGTAGTAGTGGTGCATCTGGTCTAAATATAGGATGCATTTGAAATCTTTAGTTCACTGTTCAGAAAACTCACTGGGTTTGTAGAAGAGTCTCTGTGCCTGTGATCTGTGGATGAAAATCTTGTACCGCTAACCCAGGCACATGGTGTTTTAGCTCCACAGTGTGGTGGTGGTGGAGTGAATGGCTACTGTGTGTTTTTAAATAAGATTGAAGTTGGGTAAATGATGCTGTTTCAGACACTACACAATGCTGCATGCACAGCATTGTGGTTGGTGCTCTCTTACATTCCAAAGCAAATTGGGATTGTGTTTGGAGATGCAGTGTGAGTGCTCTGAGACTGTGCTCTTGTGGGCGTGGGTCTAGAAGTGGCGTCCCCAGTTGGTAGTTGGGTTCTGGAGTCCAGGCAGTGGCTCGTGGGGTCGTACTGAGGGTTACACTTAGCCCTGCGCCCACACAGGTTTCCAGGAAACCAGATGGACACATGTGCGGTGGGGTCTGAGCCTGAGCGTGAACTTCCCCAGGGGGAGGTGCCATTGGAGGCGTGATAGAAGGGACATGGCTCCTGAGTTTCATGTTGTTTGCCACCTCTGCCTCTCTTGTCGATGGTGATTTGGTGGCCAGTGTGCTCAGCTCTGGCTCTGAGTGTGGCATCTCAGAGCTGGCTGTGTGCACCGTAGGCCCTGGGTATTTCCTGTGTGCCCGGTAAGTATGGTGTGTCGTTGAGGACACAGCATGTGTGGTGTCACTCGTCTTTTTGTGTCCTTCCCTCCCAGGTGTTTGTCTTTGGCACCCTCACGGAATGGCTGCACTTCTACAACAAGTGGTTCTACTGCTGCCTGTGGATCGTCAACGGCCTGCTGCAGTCCACCGGCTGGCCCTGCGTGGTCGCCGTCATGGGCAACTGGTTTGGGAAAGCCGGGTACAGCACTTCTTTCTCTTAACAGAACCGCTCAGCAGTTGGGTACAGTTCAGGCTCGCCCGAGTCCATTAGTGTGATCCCTTAGACACTGTGCACGTCTTCCGTGTCGTTTACAAAGTTAGAATAAATAGTTCAGAGAGAGATGGTGTCCAGGCAGAGTGCACGGCACAGGAGATGGGCCGTGTAGTTTATCTCCTCACGACACCCCTCCCTGGCCCTCTCCTGGCCTCCCTCAGATTGTGAGTGTGGGTGAAGGCAGCATGGTACAGATTTTCCCTTCACTTCCATTCCCTTTGGAGAAACCCCCATCTCCCTGGCTATCTTCCTGCGGGTTTGCCTCCACTCCTCTCCAGAGACTCGTGTCTGGTTTACGCCTCTTACGCTGAAAATAAAGGAAGCTGAGGCCAGAGTTAGTCACGTGCCTTGTCTAAGGGCTGAAATTGATTCAGGTGAACTACGCCAAATGCTGGGGCTCAGCTACATTGAACGGTTTTCCCTTGACCTTCAAGTACTGACCAGGCTATATGTGACTATATGTATATTAGTTACATCTTTTGTCCATTTTTTAAAATCTTGTTTTGAGGTAATTGTATATTCATAAACAGTTTTTTTGGGTCCTTACTGAGTTTTGATTTTCTTTGCATTCTGGATACAAGTTTTACTAGATGAGTGATAGGCACGTGTTTCTGCCAGTGCGTGATTTGTCTTTTTATTCTCTTGTCTTCGATGAGCCCAACATTGGACTTTAAGATGACAAACTTTGAGAGCTAGGTGTGACTGCTGCTGGGTCATTTTGATGTACTTAAACCATCCTTGCGGAGAAGGCTGACTTTGTAATGTGCATCTTCACTGTTTGGCCACTCTGCGCTTCGACTGTCGCATGGAGCCCTCGCACTCACCGTCTTCTGTCGCTCACTGTTCTCCACCTTAGGCGAGGCGTCATTTTTGGACTGTGGAGCGCCTGCGCTTCTGTGGGCAATATTTTGGGCGCATGCCTGGCTTCATCTGTTCTGCAGTATGGTTACGAGGTAAGGTTTGTTGTCTTCTAACTTTATCTTGAGTATATATATATATATTTTTTTTTCTTTTTTTTTTTTTTATTAGGATTTGGGTGAAGATTTACAGAGTAAATTCACTTTTCATACAGCAGTTCACATATACTTTGTCTCATGTCATTGACCAAAATTTACAATGCAGCAGCTCCCCTCCCACTTCCTCCCCATAGTTACCTCCTCCCAGTGTCCATCCCTTTATACTCTTCGAGAGGCCCATTGTCTGCCAACCCTGTATATGATCTTGGATACACTCTCCATTTAGACATACATAATTGTTTAGCTTGTTCACCCATCTATCCGTCCCTATTCCCATGTTTGCTTTCATTGACAACTCAGTATTGTATTTACAAAGGGGTTCATATTTGTTGTTTGTACTGCCCATGTAACTCTCTCTGTCTTTCTCATCCTCAATGCTGCCATATTGGTCACTCACATTTGGTACATTGCCCTTCTCTTCACCCAAATCAATATTTATCTCTATCTATCTAACAGCATTCCCTCCCCTTCCCTCCCACCCCTGGTAACCAACAAAGAAAATGTCCTCCAATATATAAACCTTTCCTTAACTTTTACAATAACGGACTAATACAATATTTGTCCTTTTGTGACTGACTTATTTCGCTCAGCATAATGTCCTCCAAGTTCATCCATGTTATGCGGTGTTTTGCAGATTCTACATTATTCTTTAGCATTGCATAGTATTCCATTGTGTGAATGTACCAAAGTTTGGTTATCCATTCCTCAGTTGTTGGCCATCTAGGTTGTTTCCAAGTTTTGGCTATTGTAAATAGTGCTGTGATGAACATCGGCGTGCATATATCTGTTCTTGTTATGGCTCTCACTTCTTTAGGGTATATACCTAGTAATGGGATGGCTGGGTCAAATGGTATTTGTATTTCCAACTTTTGAAGGAATCGCCATACTGCTTTCCACAATGGTTGTACCATTTTACAGTCCCACCAGCAGTGTATGAGAGTCCCAATCTCTCCACAACCTCACCAGCATTTGTTATTTTCTGTCTTGTTGAACTTTGCTACTAGTGCTGGAGCAAGATGGTATCTCATTGTTGTTTTGATTTGCATCTCTCTAATAGCTAATGATCGTGAGCATTTCTTCATATGTTTGTTGGCCGCTTGAATATCCTCCTTGGTGAAGTGTCTATTCATGTCTTCTGCCTATTTTTTAATTGGATTGTTTGTCTTTTTGTTATTGAGGTGTTGGAGTGTTCTATAAATTCTAGAGATAAGTCCCTTGTCAGATACGTTATTACCAAATATTTTTTCCCAATCTGTAGGTTCTCTTTTGACTCTTTTGGAGAAGTCTTTGGAAGTACATAAACATTTAATTTTTAGAAGGTCCCAATCATCTGGCTTCTCTTCTGCTGTTGGTGCATTTTGAATTATGCTTGGTAGTCTATTTATACCAAATATTAGGGCCCTTAAGTTTGACCCTAAATTTTCCTTGAGAAACTGTATAGTTCTAGGTTTCACATTTAAGTCTTTGATCCATCTGGAGTTTGTTTTTGTGTGTGGTGTGAGGTACAGATCTTGTTTCATTTTTCTGCAAATGGATCTCCAGTTTTGCCAGCACCATTTATTAAACAAACATTCTCTTCCCCACTTAATGGATTTGGGGCCTTTGTCAAAGATCAGCTGACTATAGGTCGATGGATCTATAGCTGGGTTCTCAATTCTATTCCATTGGTCTATGTATCTGTCATTGAACCAATACCAGGCAGTTTTGACTACTGTGGCTGTATAGTAGGTTTTGAGATCCAGCAATGTGAGACCTCCTACTTTGTTTTTCTTCTTCAGTTCTTGAGTATATATTTTTTATTTTGTTTTTTTCTTCTTTGAGAAGACAATATAGTGCCTCTTTAGGACTAAATAAAGCTGTGGGGCGATGTTTACATTAAAATTAAGAGTTAATCTCCTTAATACATAGAGGCACCCACATGTTGATAAGAGAAAGACCAGCACACACACACAGAAAAAGTAAAAGATTTGAGTGTGTAGCTAGTGAAGAGGAGATAGAAGTGACTCTTAAACATGAGAGAAGATACTCAGCTTCAGTCATAACTTGTTACTTAGGAGACAGCAGTAAGCTCTGCTGCGTGCCCCTGGAGCCCTTGTGGTTAGGGGCTCGGCTGGTAGCTGAGAAGTTGGTGGTTTGAACCCACCAGCCGCTCCACAGGAGAAGGATGAGGCAATCGACTTCTGTAAAGATTTCAGACTTGAATACCCTGTGGGGCAGTACTGCTCTGTCCTGTAGGGTCACTGAGTTGAAATTGGCTCAACAGCAGTGCGGATTTTGGTATGCACCCCTAGGAGCCCTGGTGGTGCAGTGGTTAGGCACTTAGTTGTTAATCAAAAGGTCAGCATTTCAAACCCATCCAGCAGCTCCATGGGAAAGGTCTGGCAATGTGTTCCCTTAAAGATTAGAACCCAGAAGACCCTGTGGGGCAGTACTGCTCTGTCACAGGGAGTCGCCGTGAGTCGGAATCTACTTGATGGCGCCGAACACTCTTAAGCACAGATGTCTCTGCCTTTATGGGGCGGTGGTGTCAGGCAGGAAAGGTACAGCCTTCCCGAGCCTCCTCTCCCTGCCCCCACCTCCCACACTTGGCTGTGAAAGGAGACACTTCCTGTGTCCCAGTGGTAAGCAACGTCTCTCCTGTCTCTTCCAGTATGCCTTCCTGGTGACGGCGTCGGTGCAGTTTGCTGGTGGAGTCGTCATCTTCTTTGGGCTCTTGGTGTCCCCAGAAGAAATCGGTGAGGAGGCCTGTCTGTTCTGCACTCCACTTCCTGTGGCAGAGCCTGAGGCCAGGGGTCGAGTCGCTTTTCTCCTTTGGGTGACTCGCAGGAGCTGTGCTGCTGTCCATGGCTGTGGGCATTGTGGGAGTGGAGGCCAGGGGCAGCGTGTGGGGTTTAGGGCCATGGCCATGCCTTTTCTAGACACAGGACAACTCGTCTTTGGTGAACAGTTTCCATAATGGAGACATGGGGTAGGAATTGGCAAGGATGTGTTTCTTACTTTATCTCTTGAGAGAGATTTCTCTCCCTTCCTGAAAATAATTTGTTTTGATACTTAACCTGTGTTTAAAGGGGAATATGGAGAGGCCCGGCCAGAGGTATGCCTTTTCAGTATTATTAAGTAATACTGGGATTCCTTGTTCTTGAAGAGGCATTTCAGTTTGACAGCATGAACCACCATTTTTATCTGAGTGGAAGGGAGTGTGATGTAGCTGAGTGTGACCCCTGCTCTGGTGCCACCAGGTAAAGTGGAGTCAGAGCCCTGGGTTCCTGGCTTGTTGGCTGTAGACCTTCACAGACCTTAGCTTCGGTCCCTTAGTAACTCCTTCTGTAAAATGGGATTGAAAGTAACACCCTAAATGCCAGTTCCTGTCGGGTCAGTTCTGACTGAGTAGCCCCACGTGTGCAGAGTGCACCTGTGTCCTGAGGGTGTTCACTGGCGGGTTCTCTGGGAGCAGATCACTAGGCCTTCCTTCTGAGGTGTCTCGGCTCAGACGACTCGGACCTTTTGGTGAGCAGCCGAGCTCTTAACTGTTTGCATCCCCTAGGACTCACAGGTGACGCTGTCTGTAAAGCACTTAGCACAATGCTCTGCACGTAGTAGGCACTCTGTAAATGGTAGTTCTTTCTCTTGCTTCAGGTCTCCCAGGTGTCGAGGCAGAAGAACATTTTGAGGAAGATTCGCACAGGCCGTTGATTACCGGTGCTGAAAATGAGGATGAGTACGATCCTGGTTACTCAGTTCAAGAAGGAGATGCTGCTAGAACCCAAGTTGGGGCAATAAGCTTCTACCAGGCGTGTTGTCTTCCTGGAGTCATACTGGTGAGCATGCTCAGCTCCCCGTGGCATCACCCAGGAGCTCTCGTAGCCTGGGAGATTTTCCTGGATACGGCAGCTTTAAGGACATAGCTTCCCTCTGGTTCTTCGTTGTGGGAATGTATGCTCAGAGTTGTGTGTCGTGCCCCTTAGCCTGTTGCTGTGTCGGCACGTAGGAGGTATCTAACGTGGGCCTACAAGCCTTGGTGTAAGGGCCAGAGAGGAGACATGTTGAGCTTTGAGGGGACCACACAGTCTGTGCTGCAGCCACTCCCTCTGCAGAGCAAAGAAGCCTCAGACGGCCTGGGACGTGGGGTGCGGCTGGGTTTGGCCTGCGGGCTCCGGCTTGCCGATGCTGACCTGGCACGTGACTCAGAAGGCCAAGTTGACATTTTATGGACCAACAAGGACTGTTGAATGGTGTGTGGAGCCTGCCTCACCTGCCTGCATTCATTCTAGGAGAAGGCTGCCTGACCTTGGGTTAAAGGGCCCAGAACACAACACTCCACGTGCTCTTGGCTGTGCAGCAAGTGTTGCTGCCACCTCTGTAGCTGGGATGCTGGCAGCAGCCGCCCTGGCTGCCTGCTGCTGTGGTTTCTCTGTGTCCACGTTTCAGGAGCTCTGGCACCGGGGTGGAGGTTAAGAGACCTAGGTTCTGCTTCCAGCGTACCCACTGTGAGACCAGGCTGAGTTCCTCACCCATCCCATGTCTCAGTCTGCTCCTGTGGGCCAGAAATCCCACGAGGCTCCCTGGGGTCTGCAGCACCTGTGAATGGGAGTGTGAATGAGCACTGTCTCTGGGATGTGTTTTTTTTTTTTTTTTTTTTTTTAATGGTGCTTTCTACATGTAGGCTCCAAGTCTGCCAGCTTCATAATTCATACTTACCAGGTCCCTTTCACCTGTGCTCCTAGGCTACAAGAACTAAAGCAGGGGGTGAAGGTAGGTTAAAATCTACCTGTGACTTTGCACACTTCTGAAACCAAAAGATGACATAAGCAGGAAGTGCGTGTACCTCTCGGCTTGCTCTTATGCTCGTGGGTGGGATCTTTATCTCGTTCCTGAGCTCTTCTGCTGGTCTCAGTTTGATTTCTGAGACAGATCTCTTGGGACTAAATAAGGAACTCTTGGGCTGTTCTTCCTGCATTTCGTGAGGGCTGGGTGTCTGAGCTGGCAGGCATGGGAAAGAAACGGAGTGAACAGAATCTCTTTGTCGGACAGTGCACATGTGATTGGGATTTGGCGCTCTAGGGGGCAGCTGTGGCCCTGCCAGGGGCTGTTCGAGAGGAGGTGGTCCCGACGGTAACTGGGAACTAGGGCAAGATTATAGGCCAGACGCCCCTTTTGTGGTCTGCCCTCTGCTGTCCCCTGTCCCTTTGATGCTAAATGTCAGAGCTTCTGGTAGGAGCAGCTTGAGTGCTGGCACTTGGTCCCACCACCGTCCTTTCCCAAAAGGAGGTGGTTTCTTTGTTTCTTCTAAATGGCATTTATCTTGTTGAGACACACGGCTTCTACGTGTGCGGTCAGGACCTTGAGGACATGTTGGCCCTTGTGGAGCCATCCTCCTCCTCCCGAGTCATCCCTGCCCCACTGACAAGTATTTACTGCCTCTAAGGGCACGAGTTTTCATTTCTGACCCACCAGGGACGCTCTTTTCTACTGACTGGGGGCTTTTGGAAATAGTCACGTGAAGATCTTTGAATTTGATGCTTCCTTACATCATGCAGTTCTGCTGGCTGGTCGTCTCACTCTCAGAGGTTCACAGTAGTCACTTCATAGGAAGCGGAAGAACCAGAAAGGTTTGGCTGCCAACAGTAAGCCATGGTGTTTCTGGGATTGATTTGCTCATAGTTAATGCCAGAGAGCAGCACGGAGACCATTTCTCTCCTCCTGGGCAAAGAAACATGAGCATGTGCCCTGCCCTCTGGGTCCCACACACGAGTTTGCTTCTCCCAGAGATCTGAGTGGAACAGTTAGAAACGAGAAGGTGTTTTCATCACCAAGGCTTGCATCCATGCTTTCCTGGCAGCCAGTGGGGATAAGGAGAAGGGGGACCAGGTCATATTAGGAAAATGGCAGTGTGTCAGTGAGTTGAATTTTACAATCGGATTTATTCGTCTCAGACTCCTTTATTTTGTTTGCTTTTTCATTGCATTACACATTGCGGCTCTGCCGAGCTGTGTGTTTCTTGCTGACCGTGGCCTGTCTTCCTTGTAGTACTCTCTAGCCTATGCCTGCCTGAAGTTGGTGAATTACTCCTTCTTCTTCTGGCTGCCCTTTTACCTGAGTAAGAACTTCAGGTGGAAGGAGGCGGAAGCCGACCAGCTGTCCATCTGGTATGACGTCGGAGGAATCGTAGGTGGGTGATGCGTTGTCTTCCTTCACGCAGTTAGTCTTTACTGGGTTATGAAATCTGGCTTCATTTAAGGTGGTGGTGCTTACAGAGCCGTTTTCCCTAAACTGTCCTACCAGGAAACGGCCACACTCTTCAAGGAAAAGCGGGATTCCCAGGCAGGGGGGACCCGGCTTGGGCAGGCCTGTAGGCTAGGCCTTTTTCTCAATTCCTTGGTGCCGAGTCTGTTCTTTTGTCTCGGGAAACATACAGATGTTTCCCTCTGCAGGCCTCTGAACATCCCCCTGCCCACTTTCAGGGATATCTAGCTGTGAAGCATCCAAGATCGAGGTTAGAACGTGACTGTCGAGTTGGAAGCGCAGCAGGGATAATTTTTGTGCATGGCTTGCTGTTGCTTCTCTGTCAGCAGTGTACTGCCTGAACAATTGCTCTTAAAAAGTTCAGCACAAGGCTGGTCCCCATGAGGCGGAGGTTAAACACGTCTCAAATGTCCAACTTTTCCAGAGTGCCGTGCCACTCCTCATCTCTGACATCAATTCCTCCTCCTCCCTCAGCACTCTCCCGCCTGTCTTAGGGTTCTGTAGTTCGCTTAACGTGTCACAGAACTCACAGACTCCCAAGGAAAAGGCTCGCGTGGTGGTGGTGGAGGCTGGGAGGGTGGCAAGTCCCAGGTCAGTGGGTGGCTCTGGAGGATTCTCCCAACTCAGGTGGCTGCAGGGGTTGGTGAACCCAAATCAGCAGGTTGGGTGAGGGCTGCTGTCTCAAGTCCAGGGGTGAGATGATGACGAACCACACGCAGAACCAGAGCCAGTGTGAGCGAACCTTCCCAGCACATTCTGTGTATACTTCCCAAAAAGCTAAGGGGGCCGCCTTGAATCACACCCTCTAGCAAGGTAGGGTTCAGGATGCATCCCACCCTAAACAGGCATAGAGACTAGCATTTACAGTATGTCACAAAACAGGATGATGGCGGAAGGGCATATGGTTCTTTTTTTTTTTTTTTGACTTTGTGTTATGATTTTTATTTTCTGGTGGTTTTTAGAATTTACCCACATTATCTCC